CGGAGACGGAAAATCTTCCCCCATCGCGGCCGGTGAGCAGGGAGGGGACGCCAGCACGGTGGGCAGGTCCTCCGTGCCACTCTCGGGGTGACCTCCCCAGTGGTTTCTCACGCGCCGCTAACTCCCCCCTGAGACTTGCAGGTGACAGAAATGGGAATTGGTTAACTACCAGGAGTTTATGCACTCCAGTATGACCTGCCATAACTCCTGTTAAAGCAGGACAATTTGCTACAGAGAGAACTTTTTATGATTATATAAAACTACCGGAACCTTAACATTATTTAGGTTTTATTGTAAAGCTGTAAAAATCATCCACTGTTACAGCTGCCTTAAAACATATGAATTAGGCATTTCAGTAACCTTTAAGGTGTGTTATTCTTTGTCATATTACTGAATCATAAGATAGGTCTGGTTACCTCTAAGAGGTTTAAATTTCCAATCTATTAAAGTAATACTGGCAATCTGTTATTTCTAGGCCATTGAGGAAAGGTTAAAATGAAAATTGGACTTTGGGGAGTTCTTCCTATTCTAAGTGCAGGTTGAAAACATCTCAGCGGCAGAAGGCAAAAGCAGGGTCTCAGTAAGAAGCAGTTATCAAGGGAAACGACTGGTGATAACTTTATTGATTAAAGCAGCTTGAGAAATTTAAGATTCGCCACTGTCTAGCATTACTGTGGTGAGACAGCTTTATTAAAAAGGTATTTTTCATTAAAAGTCGGGTGAAAGAAAATTGTAATATGTTTTCAAAAGCACAGCTCATCTAAAATGGTTTAATGATGGTATGGATTAAATGCACTCCACAGGTGGCATAAATTATTGGCAAACATTTTACAAAAGTAAAGGCAAGTAAAACCAATCCTTGTCATGTCATTACAAATGCAGAGAAGTATAGCTCATTCAGGAGACAGATTAAAATGTAATACAGCACATTACTAAGGCACCTATTGAACTGAATATACTGAGGTTTTATTATTGTGTATGACGAACTAAAACAAGCTGAAAATTCTTCTCAAAAGAACGTTAAAGTTGTAAGGTCAAGCACTCAAAAGTTAGGAGAAAAAGATGTTAGAATTAAGGTCTGCTGTAATTTGTTTCTCCTACACATGTGCATCATGATCCAGGTTATAACTCCAGCAGCATGGACTATTTTTCCATAGTCAAAAGCATGGAGTGACCGGTGCCACTATGCAGTGGTGTCTACTGTGCTCCTCCTTGGCTACGTACATACTCCCTTCATCTCGAATCTCTCTGAATAAAAAAAATTACACCTACAGACTAGACATCTTACTACAACAAATTGACGGCATTTAACACTAGAAACTATAGGGAAAAAAAAATCTCTGTCAAAATACAAAGTTCGTCACTAGTACCACTATGGCACTATGGCAAACAGCAGAGAATGAATAAATAATCTCTGCTGGGCACTATTACTGCTTTTCTGTACCCAAACCAAATCCTCCCGAAGTCAATGGGAACCACTCGCTGAGGCTCACCCTATGGGACCATCTTTGCCAGACTGGTGATGCATTAAATCAAATTTGTTTCCTGGGGCAAAGTTTCTGAGACAGGAGTTCTGATGTCCTGTCACATCCCTGTAATGATACCCTCCCTTGGTGCCACGGGCTGGCATGGTCCTGGCATACCGCGAGCTGGGCAAAACGGTGTCTGAGGACAACTGCGCTGTCCTGTCTACGGAAAAGGGCAAGCAATGCCACTACGCAGGTCCACAAGGATAAAAAGAAAACACCAAAGACTCCTCTTCCCTCTTACTCCTGCGCACCAACCGTTTCTGATAGAAGTGGAAAGGAAACACAAACCTTCATGCATCTGATTTAGACAAACAGTATCCAAGGGCTGAGCTCTGTGGGTTTTTTTTCTTTGTTCTTTTTTCCAGCTACTTTTTCTTCAAATGCCATTTTGTGTCTGAAATGGATTTTTTGGTTTGTTGGTTGGATGAATGGATTGAATAATTGCCATGGCTGTACCTGGGATATTATGTTCAGGCTGAGCTATCTTGTTACTGGGAAGATATCGACAAACTGAAGGAGTAAAGAAAAGAGCATCGCAGCGGGTTTGGGCACAGAGGGACCGAATCACAAGGGAAGCTGCTGGAGCTGAACACACAGTTTTAGTAAGAGACTACTACTGTAATGATAGCAAGTCTAGAGATAATTGGAGGGAGAAAATATCCAGGAGGGCAAGTAGTTGTTTTGGCTGTTACCTGGAGTAAAACTAGAAATAAGGAGATGCAGTTTAAAAGGGAAGCATCCCGATGAATCTCAGAAAAAGCTGCCTGCCCATGAGACCCACTCAGCTGTGAACACTGTCCCTAGGGCACTTGCAGAAGCCCAGTTGTTTGGCTCACTGAAAACTACTCTGGACAAAACATTAATAAACGTGGAACAGGGAACACTCCTGCCCAGGGAAGGAGATGGATTAGATGGCTTCTAGGTCTTTTCCATCTCCCCACTCTATAATAAACTAAAACTCAAGCACATACTGAATTACAGGGCCATAATTTCATCTCCAGGCTCTAGGGACCTACAAGCCACCCAAACTTCACTCTTGTTGTTTATAATGTCACCAAAACCCCCTGATGGAATTACTACCTTGTAATTCACTGCTGCCTGTGAGTCATCTCATACTCATCCTTATGTCCCGTGTGACATAACAACAAATCAATAAAGAGGATCTGGGCATGACTAGAGAGGGGGAAAAAAATGGGCTGTACTAAGTAAGCAGGGAGCATCACACATTCAGCGTGTTTCTGGAAAGCGTGATGAATCCAATAACACAGGAGGAGTTTTGGGGTCAGTCAGTGCTTCCTGTTCACCTAAATTAGAAAATATTTTACTTCTGCCTTTCCCTTTTACTTAAAAAAGGCAGCCAGTATGACACAAAAGGACATTTTGGCTGCAATTCCACCACGCTGCAGTCTCCAGTCGCCAAATGGACTGCCAGGCATTGGGGCACCTCTCATCATGTGAGGAACAACATCTTCCATAATTCCTTGGGAAAACTAACTTTTTATTCTTTTGGATTGTTTTCTTTAGCCTCCAAATAAAGGAATTTCACAACACATGTGCATATTCTTTTGAACTACACGGTTTGGAAGGAAGGTGAGTAAGAAAGCACAACACAAGAGTACAAGTAGGAGAAACCACAGTAGGGAATAGAGTGATGTATGGAAGACTAAATTGGGTAGAGGTATGGATGGCACAAGTCAGAGTAAAGAGAGAGAGATGGGACCAAAAACAAAAATTGCAGGCAGTCAAAAAGAATCCTCAAAAAAACAGAAAAAAATAATGTCATGCCTTTCAGGAGGGTAACAAGTACACACAGGGCTGAAGAAATTCAACAGGTCCCCACTTGCTAGCATTTACCCTCTTGGCTGTCAATCCTCTTTTGTCTACTTTGCATTATTTGATAGACTAGGCAAACATGGGGGTTTCTCCCTCTGAAACATTTTTTCAACCATTTTTATTTTCCAAATAGTCCATAGGAAGATCTTGAATATAAGTATTTCTCTGCACACAGGGTCTGGAAAAAATATTTGCATATCCATCCAGAGTTTACCATGTCGTCCTGGCCACATTCCCTTCAACTTACCATGAAAGACAGCAAAACAAAAAAAAAAGAAAAAAGCATCAGTGGGCATAACGACATGGCCCAGCCAGTATTCACGCTATCAGAAACCTTACCTGCTGTGGTGAAACTCCCATTTCCGCTAAGGCTGACTCAAAAAATGTTTTTGCTGGTTTTCCCACTACTTCAGCTTGAACATCACAAGCATACTGGAAAAAAGAAGACAGACATACAAAAAACGCTAATCAGAAAAGGATTTGTTCAACTCCATAACTCCAGTCACTTGTATAACAAGTATGCGATCATTGATTCCTGCCCTTAAATACCACAATGGATTAGCGGGTGAAGGTGAGTATCAGAGAATTTGGATAACAGAAGTGTTTAATGTTCTCCGGCAGGAGAGAAAGTCCTCCTGAAACATCTCAAGTTGCAAACCTTTTACATTCCCCATCATGAGAGCAGCCTTCAGAATCAGTTCCATTATTGCTGATTTTTGTAAGAGCATCACTCTTAAAGAGATAGCAGATATCTTCCATATTAAATGATCAAAAGTACTGGAGTGCCTTAAAAGATGTAAAGGGTTTCTTCAACCGCCTGGCATATTTTTAATGATTCAAGTCACCAGCCAGATTTGAAAAGTTTTATTTTCTGCAACTAAATATCAGTACTATGCTGAAAAGGGTGTTTCTAGCTTGTTCCTAGACAACTAGAAGCCTGAACTTATTTGGGAGGCAAAAAACTCCAAAATTCACATAGATACAAATGAATGTGCTGCAAGCATACATTATATCCATGATCTTGTGTGCTTGTATACTACCCTACTTTGTTTTATACTCTGCATTCACAATGTACTTTTTTATCATCTCTCTGCAAGCCTATAAAAGAGAGAATAATGATTCTCTCCTTCTCTCACCCTTAAGTTGGCTTATCTATTGGGTTCCAGTCCTGCACAGACTTAATCAGTCTTAAAAACAGGATTGCACTTAAGCATCTTGCTGAATAAGGGCCTTTTGCTGTAAACTGTTAAGGGCGAGGGCTGTGTTAACAATGCTACGCCAAACGTAAAACGGACCTTCAGTTTTTCTTGGGCATCTTGCAGACAATATTCCATGTCTTTCTTTTCTGACTCCTCCTTTCAAGGGCCTCACTTCCAATAAAGGTACCACAACGGTAAAAGTTCTCATTTTAAATAAAATAAAAATAATGAACGAAGCCAGAAAACAAGTGAATCCACTCGTCTTTAGAATGCAGCAAATGTGTTTCAATCTGTGGAAACTTCCTCCACCAAGGTGAGTAATTACAGAAGATGACCCATATTTATACCAGTTACTCTTTTAACAAGGTGCACAGAGCGAGTAAGCATAATGCAAGCTATAAAATACCTCTAATGCCTTCATATATGCTCCAACATCAAGTTTCAGACCATCGGTTTCTTTATAGTAGCGTCTGGAAATGAAAGTGATAAAGTTTCAATGAAATGAAAACGTTGGCAGTTAAATACAAAGAAACCACATTTTATTATTTCTGTGCCTATATAGATGTCCATATGGCTGCAACAAAAAGTCAAGTCATCAGAAACTCTGGAGCCTTAATTTAACACCAGGAATTAAGTAAAGGACAGGCTCAGTACTGTGCAATGCTGGGGAAAAGATCTCAGACCGGATGCCCATCTGGCATCTGGGACACAACTCCACTGCTTCAAAGGGATTTCAGCTAGCTTATTTCAAGGATGAACTTGGCCTGTATTTTATTGCACAGAGCACTAGCTGCTCGCAAAGGACAGCAGTTACATTGCTCTTCCTTTCATCAGCGACGGAGACCTCTTGGCAGACACAAGATGAGGGCTGGCACCAACCAGCAGCTGTAACACCTTCTTCAGTATGTCTGGAAGGGGACCCCAAACAGTTGACTATCGTTGCTTGTCACCAGCCTCCCACATGAGGACAGCGAGGGCACTGTTTATCAGGACTAACAAAGCCCTCCAAGCTAAATTTTCTTCCTTCTAACAATGTTCCCATTGTCCTGGAGCTCATAAAATTAGTTAGTATCTTTAAGGTGTTTTTCTGGAATAGCAAGTCACGTTAACACAGGTCTTCCAAGCTCTCCTGATCACAGCAAAGACAGGTTTCTATATGACAGGAAAAAAAGGTAGGATGAGCAGTCAGTTAAGATTTTATGCCTTATCCTTCTGCCATTTTCGATTATTCAGCACAGCCTCCCTTTAAAATGACCACTTGACCTTTGCTAGAACAGCCATTAACCTTCTATAGTCTAGCGTAAACAGCTTAATTTTCTGACAGTGGCATGACAGAAGAAATTACAAAGCCAATTCCCACTCTCAGCCCAAAACAGATGCTAAATGTAAATCACTCCATTTTCAGAAGGAGGGCATTCTGCTTCAGTGACTCTGACACTTTCGTTTTCTATGGAATGAACTAAAACCTCAACCAAAATCAACCTACTTGCCCAAGGCAGGTACCTTGTTAAGGTCCACCCAGTTACACTGATTCTGCATATTAAAAACGAAGCTGGCTTGTGGCTGGTTTTTGTATATGGTCCTTTGCATCAACGAGGCTTCTCTAGTTAGGTGAACAAATCATACAATTGATAATTTCCCTTCTTTGAGTCAGAGAACTTACCTACCAGGAAGCTCATGTTCACATTACCTAAATGATCAATCGTTAAAAAAAGTATGCTCATGGTGAAAACTGAGCTCAGAATATCCAAAAAATCTATATTTTTACATGAAAAATAACATTTCAAAAAAGTAACAGCGGGTCTGGTTTAGAGCTCTCTACATCAATGAATGAACAAATAAATAAACACTTTTATATGCGCAGTGTACGAAGACATTTTTGCATTGATGACATTGCAAATCTTAAACAAGGGTTGATTCCATATTTCATTCTGGAAAATAGTATTACATAGGACAAAACTTGGTTATTTTATGTACATTAGCAATTCTGCTATTGGCTCAACATTTTCTCCTTATCCTTCTAACTAAGAAACAAGGATTTTTCGCCCGTGTTCTAGGAGCACAGCGTGAGTGTCAGGTAAGGCAACACAATGGATTTAACCGCTCTCCTTCCCACTGATAAGTTGTACCAGGCTGGATCAATAACCCACAAACTAAGAAGGCTTTTCATGCCCATTACGGTCCACTGAAAAAAGTTGTCACTACAGTTTCTTCAAGCTAAACAGGCACAGTCTTTTTTAAGCCTATACATCGCACCACAGATAAGAATAACTCCTCCAAGGCTGTTTGGATTTGTCATTATTCAGTGCTGGCATTAATAACTTCCTGTTTAAGATCTCAGAATACATCTAATTGAATTGTTTTTAGGAAAACGTTCAAACTCCTTGACTGGAATTTTCCTGCATGTGAAAGCAGGAGGTCAAAATTTACTTTTGACATTCAGAGAATAATTTTAAAAGTCTTTTGATATTCATACTACCAAAGCAATTCATCTGTCACTTCAAAAGCACAGTTGTGTTTGCAGCTCTCCATCATACGCACAAGCCCAGCCATTTCTCAGTAGTTCCTTGAGCTCTCCCCTTAGGTCTTCTTGGCCACCACACTTTACTCACAGCCAGAGGAGAATCTACACCCATTTCCAGCATAGTTTGGGTGGAGTTTGTGCATTGCAGCTACTTTCATAAATTGGTAGGATTTCTGTATTACCAAATAAAAACTCTCTTGGCTTCTTATTCTTCCTGTATAGCAATTCTCAAACCACCAGCATGAAAGTGCTCCCTTATGTATGACATTTTCACACATATGAATCAACCTGCCGAGATGCTAACGCCAACATTCAGAGACAGAATCTTTAAGTACTACTCAAATAGCAAGGAGTCATGTATGTCACACAGGCCATTAGGCCCATCCAGTATCACATCTCAACCACTACAGATGTGAACAGGATTCTAACCCAGAAGAAGAAACCTAGCTGACTGTTGGCTGAAACAGAATTTTTGGACCACCTGACTCTTCTCACCATTAGTAACTTCAGGATGCTGGAAGATCAAACTGCATCACAAATCCACACTCACAGCCCTTTATCTAAGCGTGGCCTGTTGGATTTTTTGTTTGGTTTGGGTTTCTTTCACTATTAAAAAGAATTTATTTTCAGTTCAGACAGGAATGCATGGCTACAGGGCAGCAGTTAAACGAACAGTTCTCACTTCTGAGATCTTGCAAAGAGGCAAAGACAAAAAGAGAAGCAGTGCCTACAATCCTACTGACCTCTTGCAATACTCATTTACTTGGGGGTTGCACACATCAAAATCCAAACTATGCACAATTTCTATGAGTTTTCAAGAGGCTCTCAGACTTGATCTTAAAGCAACAAATGTCCTTTTCTTCATAGCTTACAAAACTACAGCTTTAACCCTCCCACCACCACCGGCAAAGATGTGGATTGTTTCATCAAGGTCTATCTCAGCCTTGAACGCTGACTTTGAAGTGGGAGGCTGGCATTTGCTGTGCTTACACACCAGGACATCTCCAGGCTCTCTAAAGGCTGCTATAATTCCTCCTCAGAGGAGCAGCTACATTTCTCACCCTTTAGCACTTGAAGAAACACACCTACACAACTGCTTACTCTGCACTGTCTATGGCAAAAAAACCACCAACAGCTGAAACTAAAGGGATGCTTCACCCAGTGCTGTAGCACCACAGAGACCCTTCTAATGAGTGTTTTCAAAGTCACTGGAGGATTTGGCGTGGCAAGTTCAGTGACTTCCAGTGCCCTTTGCAATCCTGCATCAGCACAAGGCTGAACTGTGGCTCATGGGGAGCATCCATACCACCTCCTTTTAGAGATGTATTTCAGTGTAATTACCTCAGTTTTCCCTTACACCCCTGGAAAGACTACAAGTGAGTGACTCAGGACAGGAAGCCAAGTTAGGTGACTAAATTACCGGTTGAGGATCCTTCATTAACAGATACCTGAGCAGATCAGCCTCCCAGTCCAGACACATAGATTATCTGCTGAAAAGTTGGTAGTGTGAATGCCCACACCGATACCTTGCCTGCATTAAGTACTGGGGGAAATTAAAAAATATAGAGACTTGGGGAAGAAACAGTGCACAACTCACCCTCTTCCAAGGGAGATCAAAACAGGCTTCTCCATCCCAATCAGAACTCGGAAAGCTTCATTAAGGTTTGCATAGGTGAAGTTTTCTGCTGCATCTCCGATAACCACACAGTTTGGGTTTGCTTTATCAATCTCGGCAAATTCAGGGACAAGATCTACAGGAGAGAAAAAAAAAAAAAAAGATCCACAAACCCCTTACCATTTCAGATACCACTGGAACTCATGGTTTTCCCCCAGATTTGTGTTTCCCTTCATTCATTACCCAACACATTTTAAAAAAAACTCCAAGTCTGAATCAACTGTTCTTCATACCCCCCTGTTCCTGACTGGATCCTGCTATTCATCTGTCCTACAACAAATAGCAAAATAAACCATTTCCTACCCTTGCCTTAGCTTCCACAACCCAGGTCTCAGTGGTTCATTACCCCCAAGCACCTAGACCGGAGGCAAACTCCTGGGTAGCTGAATGAAAATGTGTAACAGTGAGGGGAGGATCCACCTCCTTTCTCCATACCCACACTCTACAGAAGAAACCACTTTAAACTTAAAACCTCTACCATGATAACAAAGACAAGGTAATGCCCTGCACAAGACCTCACCTGTCTCCTAGTCTCTGTGGTTAAGCAGCAGACTCCTCGGGGTGCTTGTTCACCCCCAGCACAACTCTGGGCCTTCCCTGTACCACTGCCATAACTGAGATCTTGCTCAGGCCAGACTGCTAAGGTTCATTCCAGAGTCTCATGAAAAAGGATAAAGTTTTTGCTGGTAGGAAAACAACAATTGGGAGCTCTTTCCTGCGTAAGCTATGGAAATTCACTGCTCTATCGCAATCGCCCACATCTCTCTGGGCTGTCCCCCTACGTGTCCCAACATCTGCAGCAGTGTTGTCCCACCATTGTGCACGAGCAAGTGTGGCCTCAGGCTGCGCTCCTTCAAAATGCAGCAGGCTGCTGGGGCTGGGGCTGTCACTTCAGCCACGGAGATGTCAAAACCCATGCCCTGGAGCTTCTTCACGAAATTCTCCCGGGTTGCTTGGGTTTCGTTAGTGCAGAAACGCAGCTTCAGACCAGATGCTTTGATCCTGTTGAGTAAAAGCAGCAGAACGGTTAACCAGACATAGAGAAGAAGCTAAGTACCAACTTTGCTGTCCCACCCCTAAATGCAAAGAGGAAATGCCAGAACAGGAGCAGGATCTCTTACAGTGACCAAGACACACATAAAATGTTGATTCTGGGCACTACAGCTGCAGTTTTTCATGTGCAGAGCCCCTACCATAGCACCTAGCTGCTTTTCTGGAACAGAGAGCTAAGCTGAACATGGCAACACGGGTGATGCCCACCATCCCTAGGATACCACAGTCTGTCAGGCACACACTCCCTCCACACATCAAAAACTCCAAAATCTAGTTCCTTTTCTTCAAACTGGTCCATGGATGTAGGCACACATGACTTGAAAGCACTGCACAGCTACGAGTACAGTACCTGGTGTGATACCACTGGCTATTAGCATTTTAACTTGGATTTTCACCTTTCCACTTACTGATCACCTGCTGCACCGATCTGCTGGAGGTAACAGCACGGCGTTGCACTTCTGCAGACTCCAGGTAAAAGGCGAGCTAGTTGCAATGATGCTTATAGCAACACTGGGGTGGCTTCAGTTACATTTATCACTTAATCTCTCATAAAACACCTGCGCTGTTACTTGGTGGGTAATCCTGAAAAATATGGTACTTCAACTGATTCGTTAATAAATGTTTACACGCTTCTGAAGGGAAGAAAACATGGCCTCAAGTGCCCAGAGCCAAGGACACAGTTCCTGTGGATCGGTACTCTGCAATCTCGTGCAAGTTCTCTGCCTCTGAGCAGCTTTGTTTCTCGACCCAAGCTGTGGTGACCTACTGGGGATGTCATGAAAAGGCCTCTTCTCCAAGGATAAGTTGTCAGCTACTTGGAGAACCAATGTATTTCAAAGTGACCTTGGAAAACCAGAAGCATTGAAAATGTATCACAAGTTTTTAAAAAATATTTGCCAGAAAGACTGTCAGTCAGCTCCTCAAATATATTAAAATGTCTAATTTTGGTCGGTTTTAGTATGAATTTGTACATAATTATCTTTGAGGACCTAAGCCAATATAGGTTTAGATACCTAGGTAAGTTTTGGGCTAGGTTTATAAATTAATTTAAAAATATTATTACATTTCTTTGTGTTAGGATGAAAAAAGGACTCTTCTATCAGGAAAGCCCCTGCATTGATTCTCAAGACAAAATGTGGTGGGTTCCTTTCCTAGGGAAGACGATCCCAATTGGTTGGTGTAAACACCGAAACCACCTCAAGATAACACATCCGATGACGAACTTTCCACCAAAGGATTCTTAGAAATCCAGTGCTGACCCAGAGAGCCCCTTCTGCTCGTTAAAACTGCACGCCAGTGTCTTCTTCAATAATGCAGGTGATTCATTTCTTTCTTATTATTTGTCTTTCCTAATCATAGGTATGTGAATTATCAATTACACTTAGTGGTTAATTGCCCTTCATAAAGATAGCTTTTCTATTTTAAATTAGGCAGTTAATATATTGTAACTAATAGCATCCACTTGTACATTATAAATATATCTTCATTGATTGGAGCAGTGAATGTGAGATTCACTCACAAGTTAATGAAGCAATTGAGTGAAGAAGTGCAGGGTGTACCCAGGGAATAATTATTGTTAATGAATTATGATGTGACCTTCTCAGAACAATGAACAATTGGTGTGACAGCGGGATGACAGTATTCCACATCTGTTATTCGAAACACGGTTTCAGCTGTAGTTAAAAAGCAAAGCAGTGTAATTTGGATACACAACAAACTTTTAACAGAGTGTGCCGTGGTTAAAAAAATCTTATTCTAAATGCAAAGCCTATCTGCTCACTCTTAGGAAAAAAAATCCCGTGATTCACAACTGCCTGGAAGCAGACATTTGTTGAGTAAGAATCTATTCTTTCTCTTCCTAAAGGTCAATGAAATGAATCCAGGAACAACACTAACCACCGACTTGCACCAACAAACAAGCACCCTCACAAGTCAGCCTGGTGAAAGCAGACTTGGGTTTTCCTATACTCCAAATATAACTTTGTTCTCAGAATTTTAGATGAAAAACAGAGTTACACTTCTGAAAGGCTTGACCAAAGTGGAAGGAGTCCGGACACATCCTGGACTGCTTCACGCTTTTATGGCCACCAGCAATTACCACCTCAACAAACGAGTTCAGTAACTGCTTAGGATCAGGAGAGGTCTACAAAGAGTTAGGCCAAGCTGGTCAGAAAATGGGAGTCCTGTGGTGAAAAAAGAAAAGGGCTCTCAAAAATATCCTGGACCACTAAACAAAAGAAAAACCATCAAGAACTCCAGATGTCCTGGTTTGAGAAGACTTATTTTTACAAAAATACCTTTTCAATGAAAATCCACCTTTTCCTTCAAAGTCAGCATGTCTAAAAAGACCGTCTGCTAGCTCTCCGCCAAACCCTTGTACAATACAGTCACACTCACCAGTATGAACATGATTATACACCCACCGGGATGAATCCATCCCTCGATGCTCAGCAAGGCAACCGTGAGCAGAGCCTGCAGGCCAGCACACATCAGCAAACAACTATTAACTCAGAGCTTAAATAATTAGGGAGAACTTTTAACAACAGCTCTACACAGGGGAAATCCTGGCTCTGATTGTGTTTACAGCAAAACTCTCCTTCAGTTTTCGTGGTCAGGTCTTGCACCAGGAGGAACTGAGACACCTTGGAAGGCTCTGTCTAACAGAGGGGAGATGCTTTGCACAGCCAGTCCATACTGCACTGGAGGCACTGCTGCTCAACCGGACAGCTTAATGGGAAACCTTGAGCTGCTGAGCTGACCCAGCCACCAGTGTTCACATTTTAAGAAGCACGTGCAGAGCAAGTCACTGCAATATCTAGTCCCAGCAAGTGTGGGGATGTTAGGAGAAGAATAAAGAACAAAATTTGTAACATGATGCCTCATAAGATAAAGAGCAAGGGATTAGATACCTGCAAGTACAGAAGAATGAGGCAACAGCAGATGAAATACACAACACACATTTTATCAAGATCTCCAGTGTATTACAGATTTATCAGCATCTCTATTACAGAAGCACAGGCACACCCAGGAAGCCCAGTCAATCAGGGCTTCAGTCAGCTTCTATACATCGCGGCCGTGATAAAGATCCCAGTCAGACTCCAGAAGCACCAGAAATCGATCCTGATTAGAGCAGCACTGCACTCCACACTGCGGGGACTCTGCACGGTCCAAGTAGCTGGGGACATGCCGAGGCCGCCTCCTCCTCCTGGTTCGGGGCCGTCAGCAGGCTCACCATCAGCCAAATCCACTCCGTTTCCACACTGACTGCTCACACCACTCCTAGTGCCCACGAGCAGGAACAGGGGAACTTGAACTTCACTTGTGTGTGGGGAGCTAGGCGTGAAGGTAGAGCAGCTCCTGCCCTTTCAGGGTGTCACAAACGGCAAAGTTGGCTTCAAGCACCTCTGCGGCAAAAGAAACTTGCTGGAGCCCCTCTCAGAGGGAACGGCAGAGCGTGCAGGGCAGCAGAGGACAAGTCCAATTGCACCCCTCCAGCTGTGTGAAGCACAGGCTCTGCTGCCAGCGCCGGCCATGCCGGCACAACGGGCACCGGCTGCCTGGGGAGCTGCGACAGGAGCACCGGCGCTGAAGCCAAGGAAAGAGTCACGGAAGAAACTTCCGAGCCCAAAATTATAAGTGGACAGATGAGCGCCAAACTAACACACCAACAGGTGGGTAAAGGAGACTTTTGCTAAGCCTTACCAGAGGAGGGATTTAAGCCCATGCCAGACAGAAACAACCACTTGGTCGCCCAAACAATCCTTAAATCTAGAACCAGGCACACTGTGAGCACCTGTATAGGGGAGAGATGGAAATGAGGTTTTTAATTTCAGCCCCGAGCTGCCCCTCATGCTACGGCAGCTCTTTGAACTGACCTTTACCTCGTTCTGCCGGAGCAGGGCACGACGCTGAGTGACAATGTCCCACAATGCAATTACCGTGCGTCAGATGAGCCGGTCCCTTACAAATCACCTCGAACTTTACACATCTGCTGGCTGTCAGCATCTGCCAGGTTCACTCACCCGAAAATAATGAAAAAACTCTCATTATTGTTCCATAACAGGTAAAGTGTTAGGACAATTATTAGACATCCTGACTGACCTTGTGCAGACTTAACCAACTGCCCTTGCCAACCTTTATGGGCAGCCTTTGGGCACATAAAACACAAAACCTGTTCTTTTAGATGATGTAAAGGTTGCAACGTCGGTAGGAAAAGAAATGGCCACGGGATCTAGGCTGGAAGCCATCACTCCTTCTTAAATTCACTCTGCCCTGCACATGGCAGAAGCAACTTAGGACACGGTATAAGGTTGAACTTCAGACTTTGACCACTCTCTTTTGCAGGGAGGGTTTTTCCTAACATGGGAACAGGAGGAGAGCCCTGCCCGCGGCCGGTGGGTCCCGTGCAGCGGGGCAGAAAGCAAAACCCTGGAAGAGGCAACGAGCCTGAGCTTAGCGACTGTCCCACACCAACTTCAAAAGGGTTTGGAAGAGTGCTGGTTATGAGATGTCCAAAACTGCCTTTTTATCGTGCTTTTGGTTTTTCAGAGTGTTTTTTTTATTTAAAAGCAAAGAAAGCATGCTAAGCACTTGTGCTATTTGACTCTGGTGCTTCAGTGCAAACTCGTCAGCATTCTCATACCATCTCAGAAACAAGGGGCAATAACAGTACCAGAGAGTTATCTACCTGCAAACGAACAATAAAATAAAAGCAGGACTTGTGCAGCAATGCCATCCTCCCACCTGGGCAGGGCTAACATTAGCTTATTGCCCTCTGCAAGGGCCAGGGTGCTAGTGCTACAGGTGAAACATCTCCTGTCAAGAGGTGATGAAACCAAGCCAAGAAGAAGCTGAGCACAATGGTCAAAAGCAGAAATTTCTTGCCTAGTTTCAAGATCAATACAGAAAAAGGAGTTTGAAAAGAGCAGAAATGCGTACCACTTCTTCAGCCTACCTGGCTGATGGAGAACCACAGTGCACAGTATGCAACAGCCACCACCTAAAAATCACACTCCAAATGATGAATTAAAATGGGTTTTGCAACAAGAGATCAGGACTAGACCAGTAATGGTGGGTAAAATCTCTGATCTCGCAGGCTTTTCCCAGGATAACCTCCTGCTGCCAGAGGAGGACACGCACCTGAGAAGAGGATGCAGAAGGGTTTTCTGGCTGAGCAGTAACCCCTTCTGGGGTCCAGCTGTGGAAATGCCTGTGCAGGGGGAGTACATTCGCTCTGCTTTATGTGCCCTCTGCTTAAAAAGTGCATTCGTGGCAATAATGTATTATACTTTCTCTGCAAATCTGCATTCATGCTATTTCAGTGGCTATCCCAGCAGCAAGCATTTTTCATCTTTAATTTCAGTTTTTGAAATAACACCAATCAAAATCATTATTTCAAAAGTCTGAAGGAGGCCAGACATAAAAGCCTTTGTCCATCCTTAGTTCATTTGGCCAGTTTTTACAGCACATCCCTCTCCCAATTCCACAAACACTGGACTTCCCAGTGTTTTGCTCGGTGGGTGTGATGCGATCAGAGGAGTGTGGATGAACCCTCTCCGCCACGGTCCTCTGACAGAGTGACCTTGCTTTGCTTTCTGGTTATTCCTTCTCTATCCTGGTGTTCAAACCTTTCCATTCCTCTGATTTTTTCCATCCTCAGAGCATGTCCAAACTGCTTAAATCTCGTTGTTGCATCTCTGATGCTACTTTTGTCCCTTGATCTCCTGGTGTTTCCATTCACTGATGTCCTGTCATTGGTCCCGAGTACAGCCAAGCTCATTAAAGCTCCCGTTCTCTGGTGGTCCAGGTTTCTGCTCCATATAGCAAGGCTGGCCTGACAAATCCTTACGTACTGCACTTTTTGGCCCCACTCCCCCTTGCATTCTTGCGTCTGAAACTCATCTCTACATCTGCTATCTCCCCAGCACAATTTCCTCTCCAGACCCATATGGCTCACCTCTCTCTATATATAGAAGTGGATAATTTGGAGGGAATCCAAAGGAGGGATTGCAAAAGGGATTAAAAAATAGGAGGGCATTACCTTTGAACACGAATGAAGGCAGATTAATAGGCACATATGAAGGAGCCACAAGGAAAGAGTCCAATGTTTTCTAAGGGTGGACAAGGGTGAAATAAGAAAGGGTACCGTGATAAAATGAAAGACTCCGGAAACGCCACTTAGAGACTGTTTGACAGCAAAAACTGGAAAATCACTAAACTGTAGTTCAAAGTAATCTTTAAAAACCTACCAACACCTTTGTTTAGGCATTTCAATCATCCGGAATTTTTCAGAGGTAGAAATAAATACTGGAAGTTGTAAATGAAACCAAACACAAAGTCCATCTCATCCTGAATTCTCTACAAAGGCTGCCTTTCTCCGATGCACACAATACAGCTGGGTACCAGGAATACTAAGCAAATTACCTGATATGATAAATCATACTCCACCTGTCTGAACAGAAGGGTAGACAACAGATTTGTAGACAACAATATGCCACAACAATGAAATCTAGAAATAAGTATTTCATAAAAATAATACATGCTTTTGAAGTGAATCTGCAGAAAAGAAGCACAAAGCAGAAATATAAGGAAAAATCTTTCTGGTCCATTATGTTCAGTCACAAGACTCATTTAATCACTGCAGATTACCAAATTAGCTGAAAGTATTAGACCTAGCAGTCTCAGACTTTTAACCACACTGCAGGAACTGAATGAAGGCTTCTCACCTCGTCTTGTAGTGGCTGGCTGATTGTAATAGTGCAGCAACGCATTACCGAGTACGGTTCAAAGTATGAGTGTATTTTGTAACAAAAGTAAACTCTGGTAGACTTTAAACACTTGGTAATTCTCCACTTTGGAGTTGTCAAGAAAAAAATTTGAACTTTGGGGATTCAGTTAGCATTAACAGGTCTGGAATATATTTATTTGCATTAAGCAAAACATTTTTATGTACAATACAACAAATCATACTCCGATAGCTTTCATTCTGTGCTAAAAGCAGTTGGGGTTTTTTTTGCCTCTGAAGTTGCTAATTATTCAATTAAAATTTCAGTCAAAACCAAGTTATCTTTGTCACTGTCAAATTCTTACTTTGTATGCAAACAGCACCTGTTTGTAAATAATTAATTCTATTTCTCAGAAAAAGAAAGTAAATTGCCAAAAGGTTTCATTTAGCCTGTTTTATAGAGAAAGAGTTCACTCACACGTGCTCTGCTTACCTACTTTAGAAAGAACCATACTATTTCATTGCAATAGCTCAAAGACCAAGCTGCGTTCCAACAAACAGTGTGATTTTAATCTGGAAGCAATTGACAACTACTTCCACTTCACTTGCAAAGACAGCATGGAACCTGAAGAGTAATACTGCTGAGGAAATGCAAAGAATCCAGCTTGATTCTAAGATTCCAGGC